AATATTTTTTAAATCACTAAAATTATTTATGAACAGAATACTAGTGCTAAGTGGTAACATATGGAATAAAACCAGAGCTTTTTTATTTCTCCAGATTTTAACCCCTGGAATGACTCTTAATACAGTGTGTTTGTCTTCCAGATTGAACGGTAGGAAATAAGGAGACTAAAAAGTGAAAACTTTACAGATGACTTGCTCTCTAATCAGTGTTTAACACTGTGCATTGGTACCATAAGGAAGACATTTCTTCTCCTATTAATGAATATCTGATAACTTAAACTTTTTACATCCAAAAAACAGGCGAAAAAAAAATATCTTTTTCTTCCTTTAGCATAATTACACATAAGGAAGTAAATGTCTTTAATTAAGAAAACATTTTATTATATCATTCAGGGCATCATTTAGCGGATCTGACAACTAGGGTTAGAAGAATAAAGACACCACATTAACAGTTAACTACATTGCTTGAGAAGATTGGAGGATTTTATTTTTGTTCTGGAGAAGTGTGGAAGGGAAAAGCCAAAAATATTTGGGGAGATTGGAGCCTGTCACAGAAGGAGCAGCCAGGAAAAACCCTTGGGCATATACAGTGGTTTGGATCAAAACTCTGCTATAATTTAATCTCCTTGAGGGTAGGATTTTTGTCAATTTTCTCCACTGATAAACCCCAAGCACCTTAAACTGTCTCTGGCACTTAATGTTTGTTGTAGAAATGAATGAATGAATGAATGGTGAGTAGGAATTTTTATGTTCAACTTGAAATAGTTGGTGTTGTTGGAATGTAAACTCTTCCCCAATTAAAAAAAAAATGTCTCAAATTTACTATATTCCAACATTCTTCCTAAGTTAGAGAATTTTCTTAAATTGAGGTTGAATTTCACATCTGGTGAAATGGTGCAGAATAGAAACTATAGGAGAACGTGTTGATCTCTTAACCAAACTAATCCAGTGAAGGCAGGAACCGTGGGACTGAGATAACTGTGGGAAATAAAACTCTAATTTATGTGCAGAAAAGTGAGAACAGTTTAGAACGTCCATAGGGCATAGAATGAGGCTTCAAGAGGACCTGCTTTAAAAATTTAGGAACCTTAAGTTCCCACCTGATATCCAAGTTCCATCTATGGATGTCCCACCACATGCAAAACTGCCTCCATGTATCAGATACAACATCAAGAAACAAGAAAACATAAACACACACTGCAACAAAAAACTGTGATATTTAGTGTACTTACTAAAGGAAAGGTTTAGAAGTTGATTACCCCAAGAAAACATTATATTTAAGCCATGCTAGTTCAAAGAAAATATATTTTGTCTTTTTAAAGCCTTAGACACAAGAGTTTTCTCTCTAACTGGATGTTCCATTATATTAAGTCAATTCCATTTGCCTCTGCTGGAACAACAGCCACACTTAGCCAAAAACAGAGATCCTCATCATCCTTGCCTTTCTTTGTGTCTTTGGGATTCCCAAGTGGAGCTGGGGTTGAGACTGACAGACAGGGTGTAGGGAGAGACAGCTCACAGATTCTTGCATTGCCCCTCAGGCTAACACTTCGCTTCACGTTGATGCTACGCTCACATGTAGGCAAAACGATGGCGCTGGCTTTATGTTTGCCCACAAACTGTTGTCCATGCTGTAACCAAGTGTCTCTGCCCAGCAGGCACCTACAGACTTTGCCAAGACCGTGAGTCACTGCCCATTTATGACACTAATTCACCCAAGATCTCCAACCTTTCTATGGGGAACAGAGCATTAAGTCTTTGCAGTTCCTGCCCAATGTTCCTTCGTAGTTATCTCATTGTCTCTGATATTCACCCCTCTAGATGGTGGAGAAATATCATACATACCTCATGCTTGCTCTTAGAAGAGGTACTGTTCTGATTTACCACTCAGCAATCTGGCTTGAAGTCTAGTATTAAAATTTTGAATATTTCCTGTAACCTTTCCTTTCCCAGGGCACCCAAAAAAAGTTTCTTCAAAAAGATCTTTTATCAGATTGATAGGGAAACTGAGGCTATGCATTACCATTTATACATAGTTTTTAATGTGATGGAAGCACTTGCCAAACATTATTCACATAAAACACAAATTATACTTCTCAGCTTCATCTCATTTTTATATGCTTATTTTCCTTGGGTCTTTTCCTCCAACCACTTATTTTCAATGTATGTATTAATTGTTGTATTAATTATAATTATAATTGTACTTCTGTATTAATTATAAGTGTACTTCAGTTGTTTCTAGAACAAGATGGTGTAAAATTAAATAAACATGTCATACAGGCATATGCTCATGCTACGTGAGGCCAGGCTTTTCACTGAATCCTTAGGTCAGGACACCATCTCCGCTCCAGGTTTACCACAGGTTCATATAACTTGCTTCCCTTCTTTGTTCTCATTTACTTTTGCATAAAGGGGTATCATAGCAGTTAACCCATCTCCAGGGTGTGTTCAGATTTAGTGAGTCAATGTGTGTAATATCTTCAAGCGCCTCATGTGAGATGTGCTATAACTGCACATTACTAGTGCTGCTGTTAGAGCATCACGCTGGGACCCTCAGCCTTGAAGCGGGCTCGAGATAGGAGGTCTCAGAAATAATAACATCTCTTCTCCCAGTGTGCCATTCTCCCTGAAACCTCGGAGAACTTCAAGGCAATACCTTATTAATGTAAAACTCGGGCAACACTCTGGCATTTACACGCAGCTCACCTGGAATGTAAGCACTCACCAACATTCCCCATGCAAGAGACACAACCCATTTCACTGTTTCTCCACGGAGGCAAGACAATGCGTCATACTGCCAGAAAGAATGGGTTCCAGGCTGGTATTCTTCAAGTGTCTCAAGAGAGTGACAACAATCAAGCCACATTCATATGTTAAGAAGCCTAACGGTGATCATGTATTTTTATTTATCATTTGGGTAGCTAAAGAAAGAGTCCTATTTGTTCTTTTTTTTTTCCTATGGTGATCTCAGCTGAATGAATGAGATGCCTCTATTCATTGTTCTATAGATTATTCATTAATTTAGAACTGCTGATATCTTGTTGTTTAATGGATACCATCTGTTAGTTAAAATATTCCAAATTATAAGAGGCTTTTTAATAGATAAGAAATCATTGGCTGGGTATCAGAGAGTATTTGCCTAAAGCCTCATCGTTTGAAGGATGAGGATGCTTAAGCCTTTAGTTATGTGATTATAGCATCAGCCTGTTTAAAAGCAATTTAACTACACTTTTGGAAACCGTTCTGTAAATCAGACAGTCCTTTCCTACATTAGCCCGAATTGGGAAGCAATAATGATACGATGGCTAGCCTCAGCATTGTACTGTCCTTGATACCTGGCATGATATACCCTGATGAGTTGAACTCCCTGATGCTAATGCTCTTTGGGCTCTTCAATAATGAAGTCTCTTGGAATTGGGCTGCAAATGGACTTGATTAGACTGCTCCTCAAGGGCCACTTCCCTTGTTAGCTGTTATATTGCAACTTTAACATTATATTTTCTCCAACATTTTTACAAGTGACTTTTAAAATAAAATCCATAATTCCATTGCAGAAAACTGGCACTACAGGCTGAGATGATGGGCATTTTAGTGACTTGTCTACTCATACCAATCTGTATTGGAAATACAGGCATTTAACTGACCTCATTCTCTGGCATTTGCCTCTCTTCTCTCACTCTTTTACCAATGGGTAACGGAAATACAGTTGTCAGCTTCAATTTATTCAATGTGAGGAAACTAACTACTCATAACATTCTGCCTTCCCCATTTGAGCCCCACCCAGCCCCACACAGACCTAGCACCTCTATTCTTTACTAGCTAATGGGAAAAGGGCCCAGACCATCTCCATGTCAGATATTTAACTTAGTCTTAGGCCACTTGAAATGACCGATTCCTTATACTTCTCATAAAAACTGAAATAGATGGGAATTTGTCTGGGCTGGTTAATAATGTGTAGGTAATGGAAACATTCCTTCTAGACACCTGCAGCAACTAGCTTAGGCTTTGAAGCATGAGATTTGCTTTCCTCATTTTAGCATACAGGCTTACAAATATTGTTATTGACCATAAAATTATCCAATCTTTTTAAAATATAGCTATAGCATTTGATTAAAGTACTTCCTACTGCCATAAATTTCAGACATTCCCTCCGTGCAGAATTTTCTTTCCACTTAGTTTTTTAAAGTGTCTGCCATTAATTTCCTTGAGCAATACTTTAGTCTCATGTCAGTGGGTGGTTTGAGCAGGAGGCATTGGCAGTTTTATTTCACTCTCAGCTTAGCAGGATACTAAACTTAGACCTCTGAGAAAATACTGAGTTTTGCTAGTCTCCAGCTTTCTGGAGAGAGAATCCTTCCTCGTACTGGGCCAGAGACTTGGAGTTAGAGAAAATGCTGTTGTGATTGAGACTCGGTCTCATCACTCATTCCTGTGCTAAAAAGGCTCAGTTCTTCCCGGGCCCTTGCAAGCATTCTCTCTTCTCCCAAGTCAAAGAGTCAGTTCATGCAGATGGGCCACCAACTATCTACAAGTGACCAAAGGGAGCTATCATTGTTTTCTGGGAACCTATCCTACTTGATTTGTGTTACAAATCAATTCAAGCCCTGACTCATGGCTTCCCTTCATTCTTAAGAAAGATATTGAGGTCAGTAGTACATTGTAGAATGGATTTTTCATTTTCCCAGGTATTAAGCCCCATTCACCACTAACCAAAACAGAATACTCCAGATTCTTTTTAAGATCAGTACTCCTCTTAGTGAAACAATTACAACAAAATTGTAGTGATTTGTATCGAAGATAGGATTTCCCTGGGAATATTTTGAAAATTAATTTCTAGCATCAATTGTTGGGGAAAATTTATAATTTTTTTTCACTGTGCTACTTCAGATTTGGCCTTAGGAAATCTTTAGAAATATCATTTTCAAAAAAAACCAGAGCCAGAAATCAATCACAATTTTGAAGTGCTTGATTACCAAAAAGACTAACAAATGATAACTTACCATCACTCTTCATGTTAGCAGCAGTCACTGATGACAGAACTTGCTACCTATGTTATGGGGTGATTTAAAAGATAGATTTGGTAACAACGTTTTTTTTCCCATGTTTTGGACATAGAAAAATGGCCTTTGATTTGTAGCTATGGGACTTATTTGATGGCCTTTGTATTGCTTTCAATGAAGAAGGAGGAGTAGTTAGTAACAATCAATGTGATTTTAACCCCCAGTGTTTTTATTTATCCCAGAGATCAATATCTCTATGGGAGCACTCCCTTCAATCAAAAACACTGTAGAGAAACTGTTCATCATCTTAACCACATCCATTTCTCAGCTCTGATTAAATATCTTCAGCATGTATGAATTTGTTTGGGGTGTCCTTAAAGTAGGCTAATTCTGTTCCAGTTGAATGTCCTTGATTATACGGTGCTCAGACAGAGAGAGATTACAAACCCTAGAAACTATTCAAATGCCTTTGTGTTAATAAAATTGCCAGAAATTTGTATCATGAGGCTGTAATGATTCCAAGGCCCTGGCAGGATGTAGCACCTTTAAAAGGAGCAACCCTCTAGAAAGGCAGCTTCCCTTCGCTGACTGAGCAGGGCTACAACTGGCCTGCCTGCCAGAACCCCTGGGAACTGGGCAAAACATCCCTTTGGTCCTAACATCACTGCATGAAGGTTTTGCAAGGAGATTTTTTAAAACGTGTGCAGTGTATCAGACCTTGAATCAGCTCAAATCAGGGTTTTCTACCTTCCTTATTTCAAAGTCCAGAACTACTATTAGAACTTGGAAATGTGACTTCTCTCTTCATCTGCATAGCCTGTTAGAACTCATTTTGTCAACAGTACATTAAGGAGTTTTCTCTTGATTTTTATCATTATATAATCTCTTCCATTCTTTGGAACTTGATAGGAAATGTCCCATGCATTCATTCTCTCTTCTGGGAACTTTGCAAAACCCTCTGGGAGAGTAATCCCCTACCCAGCTTGGCTTTGAAGGTGGGAACCTTATGAGACGGTGCAGTAATAAATAATGTGAAACTGACGCAGTGATAGCATCCAGGTTCACTGAAAACGCCTGCATGTTCTGAACAAGACTGGATGGGTTGCAATGAAATGTGTCTCCCTGGAGGTTTTATTCTCAGTCACTTGTCCCTTCCAATAAGTTATCCAAAATAAGAACCTGGAATTTTTCTCAATATTGCAAGGAGTGATCTTGCTTGGACTGCTGAAACTTTTAACACTTGAAATTTGAAGCCAGGTTAAAATTTATACATTTCTTTTGGAATCTGACACTGCCCAGTTTACTAAGAGATTTGCCAAGATTTGATGAACCTTTCTATGAACCTCAAGAAATTTCACGCTAGGGCTGAAACCGGAAACAGAGCACATTTCATTGGGTGTCAGATTTCATTCTGACCAACTACCAGGCTCTCCCCTCGGGTTGTATTAATTATTTCCTGCCTCAAGATGAGGGAGAAAGATTAACTGGCCTCACACTACGAAATAAAATATTTTCAAGGAAAAAGGAGTCCCATTAAATATCACTGGAAGAAGTTGACATTACAATATCATGTCATTTTCATCTGGATTCATTACTTGACAGTGGCTTTATTACAACACAGAGAGTGCTCTGTGAAAATGAAAGCACAGATGGGGATTAAAACTGTGACTGTCTAATAATGATAATAACAACACAACATACAATGATAGTTTCAGAGGGAAAGAAGGAAAGAGTAAAGAATTTCATAAGATGTTCTGAGATAATAGACTTATCAGTGTTTTCGTGGACCCCATAGAGTTCTTGATGTGGAAGAGGGAATTCAAAGGGAAACATGCAGCTTATAAAACTTTACAAACTTAGTCTATCTAGATAAGCAATTTTGTATAATTCTTTTTCATTATTTTCAAATGAATGAAGTCTTTATGTGCCTAAATAAATGATACTTCTTCCTTAAATAATTGTGTAAATTAGCCTTTCTCAACCTCAGCACTATTGACATTTTGAGCTGGATAATTCTTTGTCAGGAGTTCCATCCTACCCATGCTCAGCAGCTGCCCTGCCTTTTATCCACCAGATACCAGAGCACCTGCCCCCACCCAGTCAGGACAATCAAAACTCATCTCCAGACATCCTCTGTGTCCCTCGTGTTGAAAGTCACTGCCAGTTGAGAAACATTTGCTTAATTAAGTCTTGTTTGTCCTATGTTTTCAAAAGCCTCCAAATTCAGTAATTCGTTTCTTTCCATGAGTTCAGAATATTATATATATACATCAAGACCGCAACTGCTAAACAACTTCAAGAAACAATCATAGAATCATGAACTGGAAGAGCCCTTAGAAAAATTAGAGGATTATAACAATAGCAGCAGTTAAAACAACAAAATACATTCTGAAGTACAAACCTATTAATGAGGAAACAAAGAACGACTGAAAAAGAAAATACGAAGATCAACTGCTTTTAAAATTTTTGAAGTCAGTAGGTGAAAATGGCTGCTGGCTTATTATGCAAAATATTAGAGGTGCACTGTCTGGTACACTAGCCCTTAGTCACATGTGATGACTAAAGTTTCAATTAAATGAAGTAAAATTAAATTTAGAATTCAGTTCCTTAAGCCACTGGTGCTCAAAGCTAGCAAGTGGCTACCATATCAAATAGTACAGATAGAGAATGTTTCCACCATGGAAAAAAATTCTACTGGACCATGCTGCTTAGAGTGCAGAGGCAGTGGGTGGAAATACCTGTGAGATAAGTTTCAGTTTAATGTACAAAAAAAACCTTAAAATTAGAGCTTTGTAACCGTTATCCTCCAAAAAGCATGAACAGGTTTGAACAGATGCCAAGAAAAAATTTTTGCTGGCCAGACTACTCCACTGGATGAACATAATCCTCTCACTCAAACTCAAAAGGGTCTATGTAAGAATTTTTATAATTGCTTTATGTAATAAAATTTTCATAATTTCTAAACACAATCTCCTGGAATCAAAAGAAATATTCATATTTTAAAATCGAGACATTTAAAATATTATATAACTCCAAGAGTGAAACAACATTAACAAAATAGCTTAATTTTCCTCTGTGGTAAGGGCTGTTCACACCTTATCTGCCTTCAAAAAAATTTTTTGAGTTTGTATTATTGAGTCAATATTTTCAAGTGAATTTCTGACCCTTGTAAAATATGAACTTCTATCACACACCATTTTAGTTCATACAATATCCAGATTCGAGGTTTAGTCCTGTACTGTGGGACATGAAAGAGAAGAGCTTGGGATGCTGGGAGCAGAAGAGGGCAATCAGAGTGGACATCAAATGTGACACCAACTTAGCAGAAAAGTATTGCTCTTATATGTACCGAAACAACTTCCAGTTAAAGTAAGGAGTACTCTGGGAGGCATTTAAAATTCAGATGATAATTGAGGATAAATTATCCTGAAAAAAGTATATATATATATTCCTCTCCTTATCTATGCCCTTTTTTCACCAAAGTAAAAAGTCTACTCATCAATACACAAACACACACAATTTGCAAATCCAATTCACTGAATTTCAAAGAATGAACTAATACTTATTGAAAACTTTGTTTTGTTTATCATCTTTATGGCGCTCTGTGCTATTGGTAAGACAAAACGAAGACAACTCCTGCACACTAAGAAGCTTAACAGAATAGATGGACTAAGGTGACACAAAATACAATGAGAGAATGACGGTAGGCAATACTGACCAACAAGACTATCAGTGGTAACACAGTAGAGAGACCGCTACCACTAGCGCAGTCAGCGAAGGCTGCAGTGGGGACATGAAAAGAGTGGGACTTAGACATATGGGTGAAGAAGCAGAGAGCAAACTTTGGATGGAAAGCAGAAATTGTAAATGCAAAGTAGTATCTTGTTGAAAGTAGAAAAGAGATCTGCCAAGCCCCAACAGGGCTGAGGGTATGATTGAGAAATAATGGTTGGGTAACGGAGCAGGGTCTAATTACGGAGGCAGAGAAGTATAAACCTGATGTGTGGGGAAACTGGGAGACAGAAAGTCTTTACACACTTTACACAATCCAATGGCACCAAGAAACTGTGCAGTAAGGAAGATCCCTGGGCACAGACTGTGGAATGCACTGGGCAGGGAGTGGGGGTGAGGGACAGTGAAGGAGAAGAACTATTTTACCAGCGTAGGAAGAAGGCTGTTACAGGCAGTGAGTATGACATGAGTGCTAGGATACAGCTGTGGATGAAGGAGAAGTCTGAAGAAGAATGTTCTAAGAATGAACAATGTTAAACATTGGTATGAATTATAGTAAGAAGCTTGACATCTCTATTGGATAAACTCACATGCAGGCTTCTTTACAAAGAAGAAAGTAGGCTGTTAGTTTCCCTAAGAATCCTTCAGCCCTATGGTGCTTTGATCCTCAGCAAAAGAGAATAACAGAGGAATCAAGTTATTTCTTTTCCCAATTTTCATTCTGCTGTCCCTTGCTGAGCTGCTGGAGAAAAGATCACATACTTTCTCTATGCCTCAGTTTTAGTATCTATAAAATATAAATTGGTTTGTTACCCATCTCACAGCAATGCTGCAGGGCCTGTGGAATATTAGACCCTAGGAAATATTGGGCATTTGAGGAAAAAAAAACTTGTGATAAATAGGAGACAGAAACCACCTATAATTAGATATAGAATTTTACCTTTGAAAGCTGCATATTTCTTACCCTGCAGGTACCCAGACTCCATCATGGACAAATATATTCACACCCACAAACTCTGAACAGTTTAGAATATTAAAGTCCACAAATCTTCTAAAGTTCTGGAATCTCTGATGAGTTATGAATGTGAAATCCTTAAAAAAAAAAAACTCCTCAAGCTAAGTGATTTTCCTATGCATTTAATATACTAGAAAGGAATATGTGAAATGAATATTAAGGCAAAATGAGGATATTCATGAGCAGTTGTTAGGAGGTGAGAAGAAGTAAATCATTCTCTTATAACCAACAACACCGAAAATCAATTGCCATCTCTTGGTTATCAAGCACATCATTCTCAACCAAGGAGAGGACAACTGT